ACATCTAAAAGAAGTTAAGTCCTCTCATTTTTTCTCCATTCACTGTCCACGATTTAACGTCAGAGTATAGTAAAATAACCTTTTTCAATTTTGTAAACTTGGTATATGCTTTCTAACTTGTATGTCTGCAATTTTAAAATAGCATTTTTAAAGCTATTTTACAAACGAAAAACTACTAGAAATGATCAATCAATAAAACTAAAAAAAATTACAATGCCAAATACATACATTCTTTGAGATTGCTCTAAACTTTACATAAGACAAATAGCATGATTAGGAATAAAACGTATATAAGATCATAAAAACGTTATATTAACGCTATTTTAAAAGTAAGAACCAACAATAGAGAACCTCCAGCATGATAGAACAATTATTTACTTAAACTTGTTTTAGAAGAAAAATTGCTGTAATGATTTATATTATCTAATTCATAAACAATGTTGTACTTTTTAACGTTTGTTATCATCATCATCATCATTTTAGCTTTACAACCCTGTGTGGGTCCTAGCCTCCCTAAAAATTTGTTCCAGTCGTCTCTATCCATCGTCTTCCCCCGCCAAGCACGTATTTCCATATTTCTCATATCTTGGTCTATGTTATCTAGGAATTTTGTTCTGGGTCTTCCTCTTTTTCTTTGACCAATAGGTCTATCAATGAGCGTTTTTCTAGCTGGGTCGGTTTGCTCCATCCGCATTACATGGCCTACCCACCTCAGACGTCCGATCTTAATGTGTTTTACGATATCTGGTTCCTGGTATATTCTATAGAGTTCGAAGTTGTATCGTCTTCACAAGACACCATTTTTATTTCACAACGTTTGTTATACTAATTACTATTTAACTGGGAATAAGCCACAATTAAAGATAAAAATACGTTTATTGACGTTTCAATTTCCACTTTGGAAATTGTTTGTTATACTACTTGATAAATTATACATTACCTTGTGTTTTTGTTATATTTTTTCAGCTGTATATTAATTAACAATAAAATAGAAATAAAAAAAAATTACTTAATAAATTTTAGTTTTTTTCATGCTGTATCCATACTATTGTATACTACTTAAAATAACTTTCCTGACACAGAGTTTATTGACTTCTGTCAATTGGCAATTAACTGTTTTATTTTGTCCGAAAATAACGCAATTTTAGGAATTCATTCACATTGAATTCTTTAGCAATGTATGGTCCAATCATAACAAGAGCGATGTTGACTATCCCAACCTCCTCCATGCAGGTCATACGTGTTATTTATCATTGTATACTTAGACGAAAAAGAAGGCGAATATATGAGCATACAGAAGGTGGATAAGATACCAGGATGCAAGTTGAACAATACAGGAATCAAATCTAAAGAGGTAATAAAAAAATCATCCAGAGTTGGAAATGGTACAAGATGCAATTTAAATCTAAATACAATTTCGAAAAGCCATTGAGTATTTCCAAGAAGGGACGAATGAAAGTCGAATAAAACAAATATCGTAATGGCAGATCAATGCTGGTTTTCAAACGGCTCTAAAACCGATGAAGGAGTTCGAGCGGCAGTATATGGAGGAAAAACAAGATTAAGCCTAAGTAAAAGCATAGTTAATCACTCCATCATATTTCAAGAAGAAATTTATTCAGTAAAAATGTGAAAGCAGGAACTAGTAAATAGGAACTACAGGAACAAATCTATAAAAATTATATCAAAAAATCTGGCGGCATTTAAGGCACCAAAATCGAATCGCATTGACTCCAATATAGTTTGGAACTCTCTACAGAACTATAGTGACGCACTACAACTACCTTGGTACCATAATAAATGAAGAATGGACCAACAGCCAGGAGATTAGAGCACGCATTGGAAAAGCTAGATCCACCTTCAATCGGATGGGGCGTTCTTCAAGAGTCACATCCTCTCTCTTGATACAAAAGTAAGAATATTGCGATGCAACGTCTTTTCTGTCCTTTTTTATGGTGTTGAATCGTGGACCTTGAACGAAGATATGTGCAAAAATCTGAAATCATTTGAGATGTGGCTATATCGGAGAATACTTAAGATCCCGTGGACTGACCGAGTCACAAATGAGAAGGTCCTCAGTAGAATGAATAAGAACCGAGAGGTACTGACAACCATTAAATCTCCAGTTACAAGTCTGCGGACATATTATGCGAAAGACATCCTACAAGAAAAAGTATTTGGAAAGCGAGGTCAAGGAAGAAGAAGAACATCTTGGTTAAAGAACCTCAGAATCTGGTTCAATACAACATCTGTGCAACTTTTCCGCGCTGCTGCAGATAAGACAAAGATTGCCATGATGATCGCCAACAGTCGTAACGGATAGGCCCATCAAGAAGAAGAAGAATAATAGACTTTGTTAAAAAGACTAGACTAAAAGAATATTTTAACCTAGGGAGGAGCCACAATATACCGCTTAGGACGAATGAAAGGGTGGTTATGCCCCGACTCATATTGAACCTAACCTAATAAATCGTCCATAAGATTTATTTTTATTGCATTTAGATCTCTTGCTTTTAAAACCACTTTGTTAATTGTTCAAAACATAAAATGGTTTGTACTTCTTTTTTTTCTTTTTAGTCATAGTATATGGAGCAATATGAAGCCAACTATCATAAAAGAAAATCAACTTTATAAGAACTTATTTTCAAGCTTCAGCGTAGCTGAAAAGGAACTGGGCGGACCATGTGGCCAGAATAAATGACAGGCGGTTGACCCAAAATATTACACTGTGGAGACCATGAGCAGATAAAAAAAAGTAGAAGAACCATCTACACGATGGACAGACAACGTGAAAACAATATCTGGGAATTGGCTGTAGGAAGTTCAAGAGCGACAAAACTGGAAGAAATTAAGGAGGCCTATGTTTACCTTGGGACGCAGAAGGCTTGATCATGATGATACTGTTTAATAACATCTATTGGCAGAATACGGTATGACAAAACCATAAGAATACTCTGGCAGAATGACTTGGCAGAATACGGTATGACAAAACCATAAGAATACTCTGGTTTTTTTAACATAATTTATTTCTGGTTGAATTTCTTTTCTCTAACTTTATAAGTATGTAACTACTCATTTCCCAGCTTCTTCGTTTTATTGTTAATTTAGTCCATGAAAAACAAAATGCTTTGTAAGGACTTTCGTAAATCACTAACTTATACATTTTCAGTTTTCTGGAATAGTAGGTACATTGAAGACAAAATAGAAGATGTTATTTTTTTCAAAACAGACTGTAAGTCAAATATTAAAGAAAAAAGAGACAAGACGTCTTGTCATGTTTTGTCAAATGTTGGTTACATTGGATGTGAAAGATTCATATTAATGCATGAACATGCTCGATCACATGCCCCTGCCATAGTGAGTGATTATCTTGATGATGTCCAAATTCGAAGATTAGATTGGCCACCGTTTAGCCCGGATTTAAACCCAATAGGGCACATATGGTATCACCTAAAACGCAGCATATGACAAAGAAATCCCGTTCCAAACATGATAGAGCAGCTTCGGCTTGATGCACAGGATGAATGGAATGCAATTTCCCAAGGATATGTCCAAAATTTACTTGCAAGCATGCTGAGAAAGATGCAAGCACGTATAAGAGCTAGAAAGGGAATACACGTTAGAGATCATACACTTCTTTCAGTTAAAAAGACTTGTTTAAGCAATTTAAATCATCATTTAAGTTTAGAGTAAAATAACCTTATTTACCTGATATTAAACATTTATTTTCTCCTTATAAAAACTTAAAATTGTTCATTAAACATTGTTAACATAAACTCTATTTTAAAATAAACGACTTTATTCACCAGAATTTATTTTGAAAAAACAAAAATTAGAAAATTCCAAAATATTCAATTTTTTTTCCATGAGTGTATATATATATATATATATATATATATATATATATATATATACCTCGAGAATTTATATTGTTGAATGCTCTGATTAACGGGGCCTTAATGATACGCCCCATACTCCTTAAAGAAACATGCGTTTCTTTAAAAGTGATTCATTTTGCATGCATCCAATTTGACTGATTAAACCTTTTCTTGATCTACAAGTTTTGGTAAATCTGTATCAACATTTACTAGAAAAATCTATTTTTCACTCAAATTCTTTAAGAGTCAAAAATTCTGTTTAAATTTATATTCTTTTGTTTTAACTTAAATTTAGTGTTACAGCTAAACCTATATGAATTTTTGCACAAAATAGGTTGATCGTTTTTGGAGTGCTAGTTTTCACGTTTGGTAAATTCAAGATCATAAAAATAGGTTACTATTAAGATTTTTGTAATAAACGAAATACCAAACAAAATCGTACATAGTTAGTTACCCCTTCATTTGGTAGCAATAAACGATGTCGAAAGTCAGCATGTTAACATTTTTAAATAAGAAAATAAATTTAGCGAAAAATCTCAAAAGAATCAAAATTTGATTTTAATACGTTTTTGCAGCAAGCCCACGGTATGTGGCTGGAAATATATAATAATTTTTTTAAATCAATTTTATATTCTTTTAAGCATCATGTCTATTATCTAATTATTATTTAACCTGTTATATAAATATGCAAATACTGCAAATTTTGTAATAGTCCGCCCCTGTCCAGTGCAAACCAAAAATTCCATCTTCCTTCATCACAAAAATCCGTCCTCCTCTAATACATAAATCGCACACATCTCACTTTCATTCACTAGCGCCAAATATTTTTTTCTCCCTCCACGAGTAGTCAACAAGATTTTCCCGTCTCTGTCCCGAACGCCGGGCCGTCCGGTGCATCTCTCTTCCCTATGTATTATAAAAGTTCACCCAAACGCATAGAAGTTTCGCATCTCTGTCCCACCTGGCCGTCCATAGCTACGTCTCCTTCTTCACCGGTCTAGCTATTTAAAAACTACCCTCCTTTAGAACGTAGTGGGAGGGGGTGATTCACGAAAGCGTTAATATTCTCGTCCCGAAAAAGTTTTGAGACTCAGTGTGACGTTTACTCTTGAGTTGGGAAGTGTTTGAACTTTTGATACTTTGTATATATAGTGTTCTCGTTAAAATTGTGATGCATTTGCCGAACAATCATAGTTTATCAAAAATGACGGATATGTATACATCATTACAAGAAAGTCTTCAAGAATACCACGGCGAATTAGTCCAAACTGGCAGCCCGGCTATTTTGTGTAGTGTTTTACCGACTCATTGGCGCTCAAACAAAAGTTTGCCGATTGCTTTTAAAGTTGTAGCTCTGGACGATGTTTCTGACGGAACTGTAGTGACCCTAAAAGCCGGTAATGATGAAAACTATTGTGCCGAATTAAGAAATTGTACCGCCGTTATGAAAAATCAAGTAGCTAAATTTAATGACTTGAGGTTCGTTGGACGATCTGGAAGAGGGAAAAGTTTTACGCTAACTATCACCATTAGTACAGCTCCTTACTATCAAATGGCTACCTATTCCAAGGCCATTAAGGTCACCGTTGATGGACCTAGAGAACCAAGAACGAAATCAAGTAAGTATTTAAAACTTCTTATAATAAATAAAACTTTCATTTCTATCTAATAATATTATTTATTCAATTACTTTTGAATCTTTTAATTCAGATGTATTTGCCTTTTTTTTACTTTCCAAAGTATTTAGTTTATCTGTCATAACTTCTTTTCTGTTATAAATATATAATTCATGGTACATTCTCCAAAGTTGCACCTTACTTCGTACAGTAAAAATAGTCGATTACTTCAAATTCCAACTATCATATTTTTTCAGTACTATGCGAATATTGCCGTTTTATTTACATTCATCTTTATTTTGTTGTTTATGTGTCTTGCATAGGAGATGTCGCAAGTAATAAAATATTTCATGGCTACAGAAGTCAATGAAGTATACTCAACTGACCTACCAAGATTTATATAAATTTTAATACGTTTATGTATCAAAAAATTGAGTCAAAATAATTAGTAAAGTCATAAAGTCAACACAAAAAATTACAAAAACGATCTATTATGTACAAAAATTGACCTTTAAATCCATACAAAATGTATTATGGAATAATATGTAGATAATTGTTATAAAAAGTCAACTGCAAAAAAAACTCTGCTTTTGGTATTATTTATTTTCTTTGGACACTTGTTATTTTTCAGGTAATTTTTTGTTCAAGCAAGCTTAGTGTATTAAAATAGATCAGTTTCTTCTCAAAGTATCCGAAGATCTTAAAGTCTGAGATAGAAAAACATCTGATAAGTTTGACATATCAAACGGAAAATACTTTTCCCTAATAGGACGCTGTAGATAAATTTAGTTTATATCAGATTAGTACTTTTTAGAATTCTAATCAATTTACTTTATTTTTCGTTCCTTTCTTCGTTAGGTACATATATAAATATTTTCCAAGTTAGATTGTTCTTTCAGGTTTTTTGATATCTTTGTCCATTTGTGTACGCTTCTTTAATTCCTAAATTTAATTAGAATTTTTAACGTTTCCACATTTTCAATACCCACGATTATGATTACCAAACTATTCCAGAATTGATATTTTAGATATCAAAGCCTTTCAGATCTATTATTTATGTATAAATAGTGGCTTTCATCTAAAACATTAGTTCATTTTTAATATTTACGTGAGTCAAAACTAGAACTGTGCCAAATGCTATATTTAAAACCATACATTGTCATCGTTCAAATAGCGGTTTTGTGGTATCCCATCCACAATTATTTTATTTATTTGTTATATATTTATCACTTTTGAACTTTCCACATGCGTATCGTCTATAATAATACGATTTTCAGTGTCGTCGTCGTGAGAATATATCATAGCAGTAAAATCCCGGGTTGTAAAATCCAAAAATCCCCAAATAAAAAATAAATCTTCCCAAATGCGAGACATATGCTCCAATAAACCAAATTTAAATGTTCTAAATCAAACATTAAACGAAGTTTCCTTGACGTGGCCATTTAATATGAAATGCCGACAAACCTTAGACTCCGTATTAAAAGTTTTATATGTTTACAAGTCTAACAGATGTTTACACATTGTTACGGTTGTTTATCAAACATTAAAAGATGTTAAACTGTCGTTTAAAACGTATTATTGGTTTTTTGGCTGGTTTACAAAGAGCGCGGACTCGAGGAGGTATTACTATTTTTAGCTGAAGCATACAAACTTAATTTTTAACATTCCGTAAAAACATCAAAACGCAAAGAATTTTAGAAAGGTGTTTTGGCGTTTGAGTATATAATTTTTATCCAAATTTAAACCATAAAATTCTTATTGACCTTAGAGAAATATTCGCTTTTACCAAATAAAAAGATAACACTTATCATCCAAGGTATCATACGTAGACATCTCTTTTCGTATTACCAAATCTTGGGTAATCTCGTATATTACGATTATCTTTCACAAATTTTTATTTGAACGGAGCTTTTTCCGTAGTTTTATAAAGATATTTACAATTACGCTGTGAAGAAGCTGTTCTTTTGTAAGGTTTATAAATGATATGAATACCTGTAATAATTCAAGATCAATACAAGATCACGCAAGTTACCGTTGGTAGGTCTAGGACTTAATATAGGCAATTACTACACAGTCTAATTAGTTTATTATCTACTCGTAAACTCTAAATTATTAATCTCTTAATGCATTAGTTTTTATTTTGAGTAAGGCGTTTCTTATATCTACAGCGATATTTGTTGTATTAGAAAAGAATCATTAATGATATAATTTAGCAGATACACGTAAACTTATCACTAAATTGCTAAATGGACTTGTAGATAGTACAAACCGATTTCCGCATGAATTTTAAAAAAGATCCTGACAGATTTTCAAATTGATTATTGGCCGACCTGTACCCCGTGGCAGATAAAGCTCATAAAATGTTTGCAAACCGCTAGAGTTTGATAATTTAAAAGAATAATTCAAGAACGGATTTATTACATACAAATAGCACATGCTCACAAATATTTTGACTAATCAAGAACCTATGCAGCTGAATTTTCACATCTCAAATCCGTTTAGATTGGCAGATACGTCAAATAGGACAATGATTGCTATAAACCGTCAGATACGCGATATAAATACAAATACGAAAGTACAACAGGTACTTAACAGATAACCTTCCACATTAGAAACCAGCGTTTTGGCAAAAATGCTGGTGATGAATTTAACTATCTGCAGTGATGAGTTTACGGGTCTCCAAAAGATACCGGTGACCAATTTACTATATCTTAGAGAATAATTTTATGGGGGATATAAATGATGAGTTCGTATGCATTTATTTCATCTAATTTTTATATTAAAAGTTCCTGATTCTGAAAGACAAATAAGAAACCTCCTGTTTTGGGAAACATCTTTATGTAAATACTATTTTGTCGATATAGTCATTGGATTGCTACCTATGCAGAGGACTATCCTAACTGTTAAATGCAGAGGACGTTTGTTAAATGCAAATCGGCTATATATTTAAGAAGTTGCAAATAAATTAAACATATCCAGGAACTTTTTATACTATTCAACAACTTTTCAAATAGTAGTTTTTTAAACACACCTTCCAGAATTGCATCTTTACATACCATGTCTGCCTAAATTATAATTACAACAAAAAACCTTGACGCTTTTAACAAAAAAATTATTATTCTTTTTACTTCTGTTGCAGATTACCAATACGGATATGGTATGCCTGGATTGCCAGGAGGATTCAATCCTTTCCTGATCAACCCTGGATGGTTAGATGCCGCTTACATGTCCTACGCCTTTCCTGATTACCTGCGAAGGTCTGCTGGTATGCCACAGCAGCCGAATATACACACACCTCTAGTTAAAGGTAAGATATAAAAAATTCAAGGATGTATTTGCTATATTCCATAAAATGGTGAATGCACATCATACACCCGCCTAAATTTCATACAAAACATTTTAAATTAAAATAAGAATTTTAATACTTGAAACATCTTGAGCACTACAATTACGTAAAGAAGCTACAAGATAACTTAATTTATAATAATTTAAAATATATTGTTGATGGTAGCAGTAGTTTCGAAAAATAGTTGAAGAACAACTCTCATATGGAATTAATCATAAAATGCAAGGCGATCGCATCAAAGAATAAAAAAGTACCTGGAGTAGACCCAACTGACATAAAATTCTAAGATACTTAGGTATTTTGCTTCACTTACAAATGCTGCATCTTCAGCATAAATAGCATAAATCAGTGTTGATTGGAATTAAACATATCTGAAACCTGCATAAAATTCAAGCTAGCGAAATGAGATCTTTCAGAAAAACAAAAGACAATAAAAGTCTTGATACACAGTAAAATTAAGACGTAAGACAAGACTTAAAATATGCAAGGAGCTCCTTAAAAAGATGAAGGGGAATTTAGAGCCTAATCCATGAAATAAAGAAGAAAAGCAAGAATTGTTGATGATGTGTTTATGTCACCAATCAATATATTTCATATTTTCATCTATATCTGTATCAAAATTCAATTGCATCCAGTTGATCGACTATTTTTAAATTATCAATGTCACATGGTGCCAAGTTAAATTAGGATAATGTGCAATTTAAGTTGACGATTTCAACTAGAAACTAGAGAAATAGTAATCAATAAACAACCAATAGGATGTAAAGTTCATGCAGTTAGCATTGAATAAGAAATGGAAAAAAAGTAAAGTTTGTTTAGCAATAAATGGTTAACTTTAATTAGTGTTGACTATAAACATTCTGGGTTAACCGATAATAGTATAAAAGGCCCGGTTTCAGTTAACCATGGCTTACCTGAGGTACAAGGTCTTAACGATGGACCAAGTCAGATACATTTAATAATATTTGCGACCGCAATAATTGAAGTCAAATATTTTCTGCTAAACAAACTTTTATCTGGGAACTACACTCTCCTGCCACTGAACTACACAGCAAAAACACAGATAGTGCTGGAAGCAACAGAAATCGGAATACTTGGAAGAATAACAGAAAGCACGCTGAGAGAGAGAATAAATCAGGAGTGATTCATAGCATAGCATAGCAATGTATGCAAAATAAAAATTCATGTAGTACTAATAATGACATTATCATATTCTATAAAAAAATAAAAAAGTGTTTAAAATATTTTGTTTTTGTTACAGGTTCGCCTTTAGCTCCGAACGTCCAATCTCCTCACGACTTTTTCATTCCTCCACCAGCAGCTCCTGCTGGACCCTTCCACGCCGGTGCTAACTTCCTACCTAGTGCATTACCTCAATTTTCCCAAGAACTGAACAAACTATCCGGTTTCGACATGCCTTTACGACCTGTGATGCCTAGTCCTTTAGATCAGATGAGCCTGCGGCTATCACCAGTCTCTAACAGTCAATCAGTCAGTCCGCAGCTGTCGAGTGCCCAGGAAACCAAAATACATTCGACGGTGGATCAATCGTCGTCTTCGGATAACTCCGATGATGAAGATATAGACGTTGTAAAGTCGGCTTTTGTGCCTATCAAATCAGCGAGTACGCTGCTCCAAGAAATTCAACATCCTGACTCAACGGTGCAAGACAAAGAGCCCTTAGTTGTTAAAAGTGAAGAGCCAGTTAGGACTGCTAAAAGTTCCTTAGTTAATTTGAGTTCGCCTAATACTAAGTTAAATTCTCCTTCAGTTAATTCAATTAAATCAGTGTGGAGGCCCTATTAGCCATTTTACAGATGACTTTGTTTAAATTTATATGTAGCTTGCGTGTGCCATATTTTTTCGGTGTGATAGCAAGCTTAGCATTCCTCGATTAACTGATGAGTCACAAAATATTTGAATACTTCGGGTAAGCTGTTGTTTAAGTCTCCAATACTTTCTTAAAATTGATATGTTGTACGTAAAAAATTGAAACAAACCTATAAAAGACTGGCAGTCATCTATTCGTCATATTTTTAATGATTTGTGTCTCACTCACAAATATTATGTATTTTTGAAGAACAGATATTAACCTATAATAATTTATGTTTTGGTTGCAATATATATATATATATATATATATATATATATATATATATATATATATATATATATATATATATATATATATATAACTAATAATTGAGACAAAAAACCGTAAGTACGAGTGATAAAAAAAATTTTATTTGGTGTTCATTTTATATGTTTTTCAAACAGTTTTATGTGTAGAATCAGTTTATTTTGACTTTACTTTTTAAATCGTGTTTCTGATTTGGAGTGCCTTTTTTAAGTGTTCCTATTCTTTGTATTCTGATATTTTTCTTTTATCTTCCTTGTTTGAATATAACTAATGTTCCTTATTCTTATATTCGTATTCAAATTAAATGGTATCTAGGAAGGAAAAGACAGTTAAGATTTAATGATATCTGTATATTTATTTCCTATAAAATTTGCATTATCTTCTTCCAACCCCTATCATTTCAACCTTGACTGGCCAGATATAGGCCCTTCCGACTTTTTCATACTTCGTAATATTCTGCAACTATGGTCTAGCTTTTCTTAACTATTTTCTGAATAATATGTACTCATTTTACTAGAGATATTATATTTCTCAGGAAATATGGGAACATGTGGTCTACATTTTATTAAGTAGATTGTCAAAACGTCAATGTTCTGCCTGGTTATGTGTATACCTCATTTCCTCTTAAAACTAGACATCCAATGTATTGCACACAGTGACTTCTGTTCTATTTCTAACGCCTAAGTTTCTTAGTATACCTCTTCAGATTACTCCTTACATTGATTGTTTCTCTCAGTTTCTCCGCTCACTTTTTTGTCAGTGCTGTAAATTCTCTTGTTCGGCTACTAGTACAATGCAACTAAACTTTTTCTTAAGGCTAGTAGGAATCTCTTCATCCATAAATATGAAGCTCGACTTCCAAAAGAGATCCACTTGTTAATATAATCGTGCGAGAAACTTCAAAACTGTTACCTTGCGAACTTACTTTATTCAAGACGGTTAAAGTGTTCAACATTTTCTAGTGTTGTGGTTTTAATAATGATGATTTTAATTTGAAAATTTCCAAATATTTTGATTTTATTTTAGATTCATTTACAGTCCTTCCCATTTTGATACTTCATTTCGATCTAATGGGAATTAATCACTATTTTAATTTAAAAATAAGTGCATTTTTATTAAAAAATGTAATTCAATTTCACTAAACATGGCAAAAAACACAAAAATTCCAGTTTAAAACCATATTTATTTAGATCTTTATAGTTATGTATCAAAGACTCTAGCTCTTCAATGTTTATGTTAATCAATAGGATGCCGTGTGCAAACTTTAATTGATTTAAAATATTTGTTGGTAATATTACTTCTTCTTTCTTCTTGCTTTTTATAGTTGCAAATAAGAAAAAAAAACTGTTTTTGATACTTCTTTCGAGATGAACTTTGTTTTCAGATCTTCGTCGATTTTTATGTGAAAAGTTTTTGTTTATATTATATAGAAGAGTAGAATATCTTGTGTTGTAAATTGTTCCTGTCAGACTGAAATGTCGACAATTCGATCGTTTTAGACTGACGTTTTTGAATAGTTTGTGAATCACATATATAGTGGGCTGTTGTATTATCTGGATTTCCAGATTGTCGTTTTTCTTCTTTCTATGGTGCGCTATCCAATTAGTGAATGTTGGCTACAATTCTGGCATACTCCTCTCGATCTTGTGTGGCTCTAAAGAGTGCATGGGCATCGAGATTTGTCCAATCTCTTATGTTTTTAAGCCATGAGTATTTCTTTCTTCCGATGCCCCGTTTTCCTTTCATAATAAGCCTTAAGAAGATTTATTCTTGTAATTTCGAAATATATGACCCAGATAAGCAGTTTTTCTTCTTTTTATTTTTAGCAGCAATTCATGTTCTCTGTCCATTCGATTTAATACTTAGAGATTGTCGTTAAGTAATCTAAAACTACAGTATAAAACTTCAAATATTTACAGATTTCACACTACAAAAGCCTTTTCTAAATACATATTGCTCAACTGGTTGATAAAGATCAAGTTATTATTCGTGTTAAACATTTATGCATGTGATACACTACACTTACAGGCAAATAGTTCTGAGCATCCTTCGTTATTTTGCACTCTACAAACTTTTTACACTCGTTACACGTTATTTTACACTCTACTAAACATTTTTAATGTTAGATGTAGTGTTTTCTCAATTTCAACATTTCAGTTTCTGCATTCTAAAAATTAATATGTAGGTAATAACTTTGATGATTTAGCTAAAACATCCGTTAAACCAAGACTATGACTATTATAGATTAATATTTGTTTGCTACCCTTTAAACCTGTTGCAATATTTTATAGACAATTTGTAAATTGTACAGAGTATTTATTTGTATATAGTATATATGTATATAGTGTATAAAAGATGTGTTATAGATATTACCAGATTTTAAAGAATTTGACAATGTACTGCAATTGTGATAGCAGATAGATTTTTAGGTATTTTTGTACAATGATTGAATTCTTTAATGGATTCTTTAATATAGCGAATAAACGACTTTTTATTGATTTAAACTTTGGTTTTATTCTAATTAAATCCTTAAACTCTAATTAGGTTTTAAAAAGCATAATTAAATTCATTCTAAAGGTGCTTTTCTAAAAAATTGTGGGCAAAAATTATTTTTGCTAAGTCACTTTATCAAAAATAATACGAAATTATATAAATCATAAAATGGGTTAGTTAAATACGGTTATGTATACTTTAAACAACTGCAAATTCCTCCAGCATTTTATGATTAAACATGATGAAATCTTCTTCAACGTCGGCGATCATCATAGCTATTCGGACTTTTGAGACGGAAGCACTGAAAAGTTCATGTGATGTACATCCTTACCACTCTCTGGTTTTGCAATCATGACGTTCTACGTTTTCTTATGCTTCTCTTTCCTTGGATCTTCCCCTACATAATTAGTTGGAGCAAGGTGTATATCTCTCCACGTGTAATATGTCCAAGAGATTCTAATTTTCTTATTTTAATTGTATTTAAAATTTCCATTTCTTTATTCATCCTTCTCAGAACCTCTTTTCAAAATTCTTCTGTATACCCACAGCTCGAATGATTCCAGTTTTTTCATTGATGTCGCATTAAAGGTCCAAGATTCCATTCCATAAATCGAAAAAACATAGCACCTCGATAACCTAACTCTTAGTTCCAATTTTAAATCCCTTGTACATAACACTCTTCCCATTTTGTTGAAATTTGCTCTATCCATTTCTATTTTAATTTCGATCTGAATGTAATCATTTGTGGAGTTAATCATTGTTCCCAGATATGTATGTTTGTCCACTTGTTCGACGTTGGTTCCGATTATTAGAAGATTCTTGTTATTTCTTTGAGTTTTCGTTACTTACATAAATTTCGTCTTCTTGACATTAATTGTTAGAACATACTCTTTTCCATACTCCGCTATTCTGGTCACCAGTCTCTGAAGATCTTCAATATTTTCGGCTAAGATCACAGTATCGTCGGCATATCTAATGTTGTTAATGGGAACTTCATTTACCTTTATTCCAGCTGTTTTACCCTCAAGAGCGTTTTTCAGGATCTATTCGGAGTAGGCATTAAAAAGAATTGGCGACAATACGCATCCCTGTCTCACATCACATTTAATTTCAATTTATTCTGACAGCTGTTCGTTAACACGTACTTTGTCTTTTTGTAATTAATTGTTTATGTCGTAATTTATCGAATGCTTTATTATAGTCAATAAAACGTAAATATGCGTATATATCTTGATTTGCGTCCAGGCATCTTTGTATCAGTATGTTAAGTAAAAAAAGAGCTTCACGCGTTCCTAGGTCTTTGCGAAAACCAAATTGTTTATTATTAACGTCTATGTCCAGTTTGTGATATATTTGGTTATGGAAATTATATAGACATAAAAGAGATATCTACACATCATAGTCCAAGTCATTAGTGCGTTATATATAGTGCAGCCACGGCTGTGAACATTCATTCCTGATTTATTATTGTTATTGTATACTTGTTTTGATTCGTTATTTAACCATTGTATTTAGTTAATTTTAAATAAATTGTTTTTAAAAACGCGAGTCTGAAAACGAGTTATTTAATTGGCGCAGTCAGTAGGATACCTGAAGGTTGCAGCAGATTCCAGTTAATTGCAGTACAACCGTTGGTGTCCACCATTTATCCGGAGAACCTACAATAAACAAGTAAGTTACTGAGAATTTTCCTTACTTCTTATTTTCCTTTATATTTTGAAAATTATTACCAGTTTTATTTTATTTTTACCATTTGTCAGAGATTGTAATAAATCTTCTTCATTTGAGTAATTTTAAAAACGTTTTTTATGCAAAGTGATATTGATAATTTAATTTGTAACTTAAACAAAATGGCATTAAATAACACACCCACAATTCAAGCGGCAAAAGCTCTCGCTGACTTTTTACCCACATTTAATGGGGATCCGTTAAAATTGGAAAGCTTTATCCAAAGATGCGACCAGTATTATCGCACTTATGGACAGACAACGGATAATACCTTGAACGATTTTACATATAATGTATTATGTTCAAAGTTACAAGACAACGTATTAAACTTCGTAATGTGTAGACCAGATTTAAATACCTGGCCATTGATTCGAAGTACATTGAGAAATAACTTCGGCGACAGAATCGACAGGCAAACATTGAATAAAGAATTCCTACAAACAAC